TTCCAAAGCCTTGTTCAACTATAAACATAACAAACCCACAAAGACCATTACAGAATATTGACTGGCTATACATTGGAAGATATCAATGATCTGGCTTGGCTGTGGTGCAGAAAGTGTGCTTTGAAAGTCTGTGTTCTATTATCTAACGCTGCTGACATTTAAGCATTACACTGTGTCTTAGTTAGGGTTTCTATTGCTCTGATAAAACACCACAACCAAAAGCAACTTGGGGAGGAAAGGTTTATTTCATCTTAGAGCTTATAGTCCATCATCATCGAAGTCAGGACAGGAATCCCAGACAGGAATCTGGAGGCAGGAGCTGATGCAGAGGCCATGGAGGGGTGCTGCTTACTGGCTTGCTCTCTTTGGTTTACTCAGTTTGCTTTCTTATAGCATCCCAGGGCTGGCACCACCCACAGTGAGCTACACCCTCCTACATCAATCATCAGTCCAGAAAATGTACCACAGGCTAGCCCACAGGCCAATCTGGTGGGGGCATTTTCTCAGTTGAGGTTTCCTCTTCTAAACGACTCTAGCTTGTCTCCCGTTGACATAAAGCTAGCCATTATACTCTGTCTTCCTTAATTCCTACATATGGATCTTATGGAGCAAAAGAAAGTCTTATATCTCTTCTATATGGTACTGATAGAGTTTTACCTTTGACCTCTCAACATCTGTGTAGTAGAAGTGATGTTCTGACTGACGATGGATTATGTTACTGCACATTGGAAGGGCCAAGTTTATCCTTCAGAAGCAAAGGCCACAGCACTTACAAATACCATGGAAAGCCTGAGTGTGGCTGTCCGCTGTCTTTACTATGCATCTGACTTACATTTGTAGTCATCTGACAAGAAGACCAATGACATTTTTTAGCAGCAGAATATTTGTTTACACAGAAGGGCAACACACCTCATTTGTGGTCTTTCTATTTATAAACTGTAGGAGCTATTATTTAAAACATGTAGTTTATAAAACCACATGTCTAACTTGTCAGATATGGGAATATCCCAAACAGTAGCCCATCATTTTCTTTTTACACTAATTGTCAGAGTTTACATATATGTAAACAAAATCTCAAAATACTAAGATTTACTTTTCATTTCTTAGAATATTTTTGTTTCTTGGGTCTATTAATTTCTTGGGAGACCAATTTTGTATCATTGTATGTGTGTGTGTGTGTATCTGATTCATAGAGTGTAGCTTACAGGCCTTGACATTTATTATGTCTTCCTGCCAGAATATGGAATGCGAAAGACCATTAAACAGGAAATGAAGTACTATGATAGGAAAGACATGAAAATTAAATGTCCATTGATGGAAGAATAGATAAAGAGAATAAGATATATAGTATTATGGACTATTTTTCGGTCTTAACGAAAGAAGGCTTTTTTACCATGTATTTTGACATGGATCACCCAGAGGATATTATGTAAGTGAAATGAATCAGTCAGAGAACAACTACTTCATAATTCCACTTACACGAGGCATCTGAAACAGTTGACCCAGAAGCAGACGGGAGAGGTAGTGATTAGGGGCTGGGAGTGGGGCATGAGCTGCTATCTAGTGTGCAGAGTTTCATTTAGGCAAGGCAAATTCTAGGAATTTTCTATGTGAAATTATTAACAATAGTGTGTGGAACACCTACAATTTGTGAGGAACGTCCTGGGGAGGTGGCTCGGTTGATGAAGTGCTTGCTATGCGCACACAGAGACCAGAGTTGGGGTTTTTCTGAACCCCCACAAAAGCCCAGCATTTAGGAGAAAAACATAGGGGATCCCTGTGGGAAGCTGGTGGCTAGACTAGCCTGAGTTAGCAAGCCCCAGGTCCAGTGAAAGACTCTGCCTCAATAAATAAAGTGGAGAATAATCTAGAAAGATTCCAAACACATGCCAACACACACACCTGCTACATACATGAACTGAAAAAGTATTGTGAAGAAGGTAGATCTCATACATTCTTGGCAAAATTAAAAATAGTAACAACTTATGCCACCTTCTACAAGGTGTTGTAAGACAACCCAATATGACACACTGTTAATCGGATGAAATAAGCTTTCATTTATCTTGTAAAAATTATTGTTGAAAACATCAAATTTACTTTCCCAAACTGTTACATAGTTTGGAAAATACTATTTTAAAATAATCGTGGCTTCTGCATGTTGGGGAATTACTATGTAGAAGGCAGTATGCCAAATACCCCATATATATTATCATACCTGCCGAGAAACTCTCCAAGATAAATGTTGTTATTAACCCTGTATTATAGATGAAGAAACAAAGGTCAGGGAGGCACATAATAACACCTTGAAAGAAGCCACGATCTAATTGGTCTCCTCCCTGTCTATCCCAAGGCCACTTTAACAAAGCCTCCTTCCTCACTTCTGCTCTGTGGCATGCCTTCAACTCTCTCCTTGTCCTAGCAACAATATTTGAGGTTGCTTTTCCTATCCTCCCATGATTTTCTCTCTTGGCTTTTAGTATGCCACATTTCCTGGATTTTCCTCCCCCTTTGGAGGTGCCAGTTTGCTTGACTGGTTCTTCCTTTGAATGGAAAGATTGGCATAAGCTCAATTCTTGGGTTTCCTCCATTCATGTTGACCTCACTGTCTATCGTCTACAAAAAAAGCATCTATAAGCTGATCACTTTTATCTCCAACCAGGACCTTTTCTCTGAGCCCCAAACCCTCTCATCCCACACTCTACTACTTCTCATGGATGACGAGAGACACTTTAAACGTGTCGCCGCTGACACAAATGACTTTTCACTAAGCCTGCTTCCCTGGCGGTCTCTTGGTCTCAGTTAATGGCATTAGCCTCTTCTCAGATGGAGTCAAGCTTGACTGTTCTCCTCTCATTTGCCTTACACCTGCCCTAGAAGTTCTGTCTGCTCTACTTTCAAAGGTTGCTTTCAAAATAATATTCCCACAGTTGGATTTCACACCATCTCCGAGGCTTCCACCCTGCATTGAACTGCCATCTTTCCTGGGCTGAATTATGCAACAGCTTCTTAGCTGGCTTGCCTTCCTTCCTCCTACAGTTTCTTCCCAATTGAGATGCTAGGATCATTTGGTTAAAACGTTAGTTGAATCATTATAGTGGTAGCCTCCAAATCTCCTAAAAGACTCCCATTTTTATTAAGCCTATGGTCAAAATCTTTATAGTAGTTTACAAGGACTTCTGCAATCTGGCTCTTGTTACCTCTGAATTAACTTCCTGCAACTCCAAGCCCTGCTTACTCCCTTTTTCCTCCTGCCTCAGCCTCACAGCTTTTATAGTACAGGTTATTTTGACCAGAATATTCTATATTTCAACTTTTTTTTTATATCTTTTGGGTGGGTTCTATAAGACCTTCTTATTTAATATGCCACACCACAGCTTAGGATGGTGTAATTTCTATAATCACTCTTTCATGAATGCAAATATGCTTGTTTTATTACTTAAAAATTACACAGCAGACATTAAGGACCAATGACTTAACATAGAGCTTTGAGAATAGAACCTTGACATATTAATAACTATTTAGTGAATGAGTAAGAGTGATGGGGTCTTTGATACCAGGCTAATATTATGGGTAATCTTTAATGAACCCCCACTGTCTCTGGCTAGTCTGGATAGTGACAAAATGATTGGAAAAGAAAGTATCAATGCTATATTTTGAAACATTAGAATAATCATTTTTTTAAAGTTTATTTATTTATTGGTTTTTCGAGACAGGGTTTCTCTGTGTAGCTTTGCGCCTTTCCTGTAACTCACTTGGTAGCCCAGGCTGGCCTCGAACTCACAGAGATCCGCCTGCCTCTGCCTCTCGAGTGCTGGGATTAAAGGCGTGCGCCACCACCGCCCGGCAGAATAATCATTTTGAAGACCCAAATTATGTTGGGTGAATCAAGTAATTAGGAACATTCTTTGTGACTTTCCTCCCTGCTTCCTGGACATGTCATGGGTCCCAGATAAAGCTACTGTTAGCACCAGCATAGTCCTACATTTTAATAGATTTGGAAAATGCCATGTTTCAACTTTCTGCACTATGGGGAGGTAAGGAGAATCTTGGTGTCAGTCATGTTATCTGCTGAAGGTTTTCTATAGCTTGAAAATGTTTGTCTGCCAAGACATTTGCATGATCTTTAGTAACTTAGACACCAAACAACATCCATAGGCAGCAGAGTCTTCAGGTCTGTCACCACTGCTGCCGGGGTCCCCTCTCTTAGTAGCAGCTACCATGTATTGGTGTTTTCTCTATTCTGTTAAGACTCTTGCCTTGCCTCATCCTATGAATAAAGGATTAATTACTATCCCTGATTTTATTTCAAATTCACAGAGGGGTTACTATGGATGCTTCATCATAAAGCTAGAGAACACTGCATAGTTTTTCTTTAAAGTTCATGTTGCTAATGCAGTGTCACTTTGTGGAGAAGCTGAGGGAAGATTGGCTTCCCCTTTGACAGAGATGGTGAGTATCATTAGAATTAGAATTTTACATATGTGGAAATAATGCCCACCCTAAAAACTTTAGGTAATAAAATTTGGTTAGTGTGCTTTCTAAAATGATTGACTGATCAATTTTTAGAGAAAATGAATGTCAACTTAAAAAGGAATAAATACGGCTTGAAATTAAGATAAAGCATATTATCTTGAGAGATGTTGTATGTTTAAATGAGGTTAACCTGGCTTCCAAAGTTTTGATGTGGAAAATGGTCTTTGGTGTCTGGAAGTACTTTAAGGTTGGATGTAGTTTACAGCATCTTAAGTGACAACTTTTATATCAATGATTTTCAAGAAAAACATAGAACATGATTTTTGTATGAAAGCTCTATGTGCTTGTATTTAAATAAAAACATGCAAAGAAATTGACTGAGTTCAGTCAGATTTGAAGTAGTTTCTTTCTCCTTTCCCTTCCTGTTTAGAAACCAGTAAAATGTTAGGTTTAATCAGAAGCTCAAACCCAAGGAGTTAGGGTCTCTGCAACACACACAAAAGAAGGGATTGGGAAGTGGAATGTACCGCTGGGGACTGACAGGTCTCGGCATCTGCAGACGTTTGTCTCTCTTGCTGAAGAGGTATCTTTTCAGGCTCTGGAGGCCGTTCAGGGATCTGTTGGTGGCTTTCAAGATCATGTCCTGAATGGGGAGCTATCTGAATGGAAAGAGATGCTGTGTGTGTGTTAGGTCCTGGCTTAGGGGTTGGTGAGCAAGACCTTTTCAGACATGATGGAATGTCAGTGGATTGGGAAAACTGTGGTGTTTTAAATGGGGAACTACTCCCTAGGTCCTGGTTAGGGGTTAGTTTTAAGGTAGAAATTCTTCGAGAATCTCGCGTGTAGTCCTCTTGTAGAAATGGGGTGTTAATGTCTCCAAATGGTGCAGGACTGGAGCCGGAGACTGCTGGTAGTGGATTAGTGATTTTTTGTGTGTATGACAGAGTTGTGTTGGATTCCTCAGAATACACTATTGTCTGGTTAGAATCTTCACTAGAAGGCATAGCTCCCTGGAGAGGTTTAAAGTTAGTAAAGCTCTCGGTGCACCATGGACTTTCTGTGTTAGTTACTAATGAGTCTAAAATGTCACCCTTTGTTTGATTGGTTATCAAGGACTGACAAAAGCTCTCTTTCCTGCCTGGTGGAAGAGGTGCCTAAATGGCCAAAAGTGTTCAGAAAGAGAAATGATGTTAAAGGAAAAACAGAAAGAAAGTCCAAGTTAGTCATGAGAGGAATATTCTCAAACCTGTTCTGAAGAAACCCATACACACTATGCCCTGGATAGACTAAACTATTACTTTCAGCCCTGTAAGAATGCTTTGTGTATTATTATCAATATTTTCTCCCAAGTTGGTAAAGCTGTTTTAGTTTAGAACACATTACAAAGATATTGCTTCCATCCATAGTTTTAAAAAATTATGCTAAAAGTGAACATAAGTTATCTTGTCCTATTTTTAGACCTGGAGGTTGACAGTTCATTTAGTCACATGTTTTTTTTTTTTTTTTAGAACATTTTACATACACAGTTTTTACGAAAATCTCAAAGGCTCAGCATTTGTCTGACTTACATCCATTCAACACATAATGTATCCCTGACTCTCAAACTCTGGGATCCAAAACATCAGCTGTCAGAGCTTTAATAATTAGAATTAACCTTAAATGTTGTGGTAGAAGCTGGCCTACTTTTATAAGCTTACCCAGAGAAAAAAATAAAGACTACATCAATAACAACAAAGGAAAACCTACCTGTTTTGAGCTTAAACTCATGCCCCATGTTGTACATGTTAGCATGACTAGCAAAGCAAAAGGAAAAGGCAGAAGCATTTTAAAGCTATAACACTAGGAATGAGGTCCCCAAAAGGACGAGAAAACAGAGGTCTAGGCACTAGACACACGACAATGAGCTTTAATTACCTGGGTTGGTGATTTTTTGTCTTGCAGGTTTGGGCGGACGCTTCTAAAACCTTTTGCTGCAAGAGAGGAATATGTGGCATCTCCATTCAGTGTCTCTGGATTTCGATCATTGTAAGAGCTCCACGCTTTTATTAAAGGAAAACAAATTGGACACAGAAATATCTACGTTCACTTGAATTTTTTTTTGGTGTGTTAGAAAATTGATTTGTCTTTCTAAAATCAAAGTGGTCTTGATAGGACTTTAATTTAATATGTATAACAATGTATGAAATTTAAATTGAACATGAAATCAATGATAAGTCAATGATGTGGCTGTGGGTATGCAAAAAGAAAAAAAATGTTCTTGGAATAAACACAATAGTTATTCACAATATTTTTTTTTCTGTACCTGAGTCTGGAGACTGAGAATCACGCCCTGAAAGAAAAACAATGTTGAAATTAATACGAGTATGCGGCAAACCAACCCTCCAGTAAAAATACTTGGCAAAGAACCACATGCATTGTTTTTGCCGACATTATCTCAGTCCTAAAACGGGGTGCGTAAAATGTAGTAATGGGAGGGTTGTGCACAATTATTAATTTCAGCGGGCTTATCATTTGTTAAATATCTACACTCTATAACTAGAACATATATCAAACACTAATTTTCACCCTTAATAATATTACAGCTATGTAATTTTAAGATTATCGTGGCCCAAGGTGGATACATGAAGTCTGAACATAAAATTAAAGGATTGAAAAGAACCTGGTTTGCAAACAATGAGTGCTTTTTAGAATGTTAAAGGAAGCCACCAGATAGGTAGTTTTCTGAAGCCACCTGTAACTCACTATATTTAACTGCTACATTAGATAGTGACTCATCTTTCAATAGCTTGCTTTTTTTAAAAACTTTTACAAAAAGGCAGATGTGCCTACTGTATAAGGTAATATTTTCACATTGTTCTCTAGAATTTGAATTTTCTTCTTGTTGATTCAAAGTCTTTGTTTATTCAAACCTGAAAACTGTTACAGTGTATTTCCTTGTCTTTTAGCTCATAAGCTGTGGAAAATAAATCATAGTAAATAATTTGTTTAACCACATACTTATGGTCAATTGTCTCAGCACTGAATATTCAAGAACCTCCCATATGGTCATCTGGGAAATCAGTTTGCACTCTTTTGGTCTATTAGACCTATAAAGCCTTGACTTTGGAAAGGATTGGAGGACTTCTTTGGCTTCACTGCTGTCTAGCTCCTAGATTCTTCTGATATGTTCCCTGGGACCATTAAGAAATTGTTACTAGTCAATGACTCTGTGTTTTCTTCCCAAACTCTCCAGGAATAGCATTTTAAAATTTACACATATACACTTGGAATGATGTTTAGTGGGTTGAGAAATGCAAAGTTTGTTTTATAAAATATTTAAGATGGATTTCTTTTTTTTTCTCAAATCAAGGGAAGAAAAATAAATATGAATCATCTGAGTTGCCTGGAATGACTCTAGCACAAGTGAGTTATAGAAGAGAAACATATTCTCATTTATTGTATCTGATCATAAATTAGAATAAAAATGAGCGTAATCAAGTAAAAATAATTTTGTAGAATTATTCATGACATGTTTTCTGGATTCTACACCTAGAGTATAACAGAGTCTGGAGACCACCATTTCATTCAGTTAAAGGACAGTGACACCTCTAGAGAGAATAGTAATGTGCAGCTCTCTTTGGAATTCTGCTCTGGGGGCACTCAAGGAAAGAGACTTACTGACCACTGAGGGTCTACACTCTGTGGACAAAGAAGAAATGTGGGGACTTGAGAAGAGGTTAATGGACAGGGAAGCAGCATCAGTAATGCGCATGTGCATCGTAACTGTTTGCTTGAGAATAGGACGTCTATTTTACTCCTGGTTTGAAAAGACTAAGCTAGAAAAGGAAGACATGAAGTATGTGCTGAGGAGGAGGCTGTTGGCTAAGCAATAGGAGCCATGTTTGTGGAGCTGCCAGGGATGTAGATGAGGTAGGGGAGAAGGGGCATATTGAGCTAATTGGAGGGACACTTGGAATACAAATCCTCCAGTTGATAGTTTCTAGATGGCCAGTTCTGTTTCCTCACAATAGTGACCACATTGTGGGGTTATAGAACCCCAAGAAACACCAAGTGGAAGAAACAGAGGACTGTTCATCCTGATTAACCCACGGGATATTAACAATGGCAAACTATGGACAGGCCGGTGGATGAAAAACCAAGTTGAGGCCATGTTTTAGTAAAGCTTGAGTTGATGATTTTAGCATATATCTCAATGAATAATTAATTCTTTAGTGATGTTGAAACATATATTTTTTTTCCATATGAGTTTTTGTGAAGGATGCTACACAATGAGAGCCTGGGCAGAAAGGATCCTGATTCTTTAAAATGTCATTAAATGTCTTTGAAGACTTTATGTGTCAATATATGCAAAAAAATTCTCTTAAAGTTAAATCCAAAATTTAAGGGACTGCTAAAAATCCTTATTTCTGGTGACATAAAACAGGCAAGAGCTACTAATTGCTCATATTACTGAATTATTTAATCAGCCATCCTTCCTTCCTTCCTTCCTTCCTTCCTTCCTTCCTTCCTTCCTTCCTTCCTTCCTTCCTTCCTTCCTTCCTTTCTCCTGCCCTTGGCTACAAGAAATTGAATGAAAGGCCTGGTGCATGCTAGGCAAGTGTTTCACTGAGCTATATAGCCATCCCTTACTCTCATTTTAATTATCTTAAGTTTTGAGACAGTGTGCGCAGATGTGCCTTAAATTTGCTGGCTAGCCCAGGCAGCTTTAAACGTTAAGTAGCTGGAATCATAGGTTGATACCATCAGGATTGGCTCAGCTTATTTTTCTATTTTTACTGTGGAACATTTAGTCTTTTCCCCATAGCTTGAATGGTATGAAATTCCTTGTAGTACAGTTTTGACTCTCTCAAATGCAATCTCTAGTTCAAGCCAATGCTATCTTTTGTGGGTTATTTTTTTAATAAGTGATAACAAATATGAATTGTTAACATAGTGGGTTGAGATTTTACTTGGTTGAAATGCCAGTGAAATCCATGGTTCAGGCATTCCAATAGTACAATGTACCTGCCTTTTATTTATTTTACTTTCCATCATTCTCATCTCTCATGCATCTAGTATAAATACATCTGTAGCTTTTATAGTATCTTTTCATACTCACATATGCATGAACAAACATATTCAGAGTGGTTTTTAAACCCAGATGAGATCAGATTACAAACATTTTAGTGGTTTGATATAAAGAAGGACAATATGAGACTCCCGACTTGACATTTAAATTTGGACCCTGAAATCCATTTGTGAGCTGGGGAAGAGGGTGGAAGTGGAAGTCACCTTTAAAAGTTTGTTTTTCTTTAATAAAACTGGGTAGGGCATCCTCAGTACCAAATGACCACTAAACATGTTTACAGAAGACTGAAACACAGAATGAGATTTAAAATTATTTAGCGACTCCATCACTTTCCTCCTCCTTCTATATAACTAATTAATCTTATAAATAAACCCGAGGGAACCCTAGACGGCAGCCACATCAACCAATTAACTAACCAGTTACCAGGAGGTTTGTGCTACTCCCTCAAGGATCTAGGGGCAGGCTGGGATGCCAGCTGACCTTCCCTAGCTGCAGACTCTCTAGATGAAGCCTGTGGCACAGTGGCACAGGTAGGTCATCACAGACAGTGAAAAGAGAGCTACCTCAGTGTATGCTGGCATGTCCCATCCTCTTTGCCTTCTGAAGTATATTTTTATCTGTGGGTTCATATGAGTCTAAATTGATTAAGGTTTTGATACATTCTAAAGTGTGTATGAGATAGATGCCAGAAGGTCTGTTTTCTGTTTGCAATCTTTGGGAAGAACCATAGTAATAAAGATTTATGTTGATCAAGTGTTTTTTCCTAACCCTGAATTCTCAAAGTATCATGTTACTTTAGCTCATGAGATAACAAAAACGTAAATAGTTATTAACATTTACAGTTAACGTATTTTTGGCAAGTGACTGATGCTTTTAATTATATTTTTAAATGTTTGTTTTTAACAAGGTATCGGTTTCCTTTGGCTTTTTATTTTTAGAACAAAACCAGCAAGGATAGAAGCTATTCTTGGGATTAGAAAAAAATAAGATTGAGTGGGGGATCTAAAAGGCACTTAAACTCCCTGTACACATCCCAACAAGATAATTGTGGAAAGAGAGAGGCGAGGTGAAGCCATTCAAGTATGACACTGTGAGTTAGTGATGTTATACCTGCAGCCAATAGGTTTGGAGAACTTTGAACTCTCTTCACAGATGTTAACGTAACAGACATGGCGGCACGTTTGCGAGCACACCCACCGCTATCTGGAAGCAAAAACAATGATCTAGCAGAGGCCAAGGCAACAGAGAAGGCACATGCAATGTCATGCATTTTAAGTGGGACATGTCAGACACTCATGAGAAAGATGAACAGTTGAGCATTAGTAGTCACGGATACACTTGCAAATTTCACTCCTAAACTAAAAGAAACAAAGTAAAACCAAAGTGAAAAACCAGGGGTCTGCTCAGAGAGAGAGAGACAGCAATGCTTTAAAATGAAACAAAAAGTTTTATATTTAACGTTCATCATTTTTTACTTAATGATATCCCACATACAGAGCTCAGTTTTGTTGACACTGTTAGTATTGAATGCACACCAAGTCCAGAAACAGCACAGCTAGCCTTTGGAGTTATGGATTACCTGTATTTCAGCCTAAAGTGCCATACTTATTATGGCACTTTATTATATTATTACACACCTATGTAAATAATTTAGATTACATTTAATCTATCCTATTTATGATTACTAAAGGTGATCAGGATGAGTTGCCTTGATTTAATAATTCTTGAAGTAATATTTTTCAGCTGTCATAGGCATTATATACTTCATATACACAAGTCCCAAGGAAACACACAGCACTATGCAATTTCATGTCTGCCCACTGTTCTGAAATAGTTATTCTAATTGAAATGGGCAGCATTGATATACACAGTGAAATGAGCATATTTTTAAAACGAATGGATTGCTCTTGTGCTTTTGAATAATAGCCATGGCATAGTCTATGTCCGTGCTAAGAAAATCAAAACATGAAGTGAAATATGTTCAAATGCATCGGCCATTTTCTATGCTATGAGAAGTTGAGACTTCTAAATTTGGAAGACCAGTCTCCAAGATTGAAAGGTTAGAGTTCTATTTCTGAATAGCCTCTGATTCTGCTCCCACATTCCTTGGTAATATAGCATGTGCAGTAAATAGTTTTGCATCGTTCCCTGATCATCAAAACAACCTCAGTTCTCCTTTTGAAGGTGAACATACAAAAAGACAAACCAGATAACCAACAATATGAGAATATACTTGTTATTTCTTGTGATATGCTTTCTTTATTCCTTACTTCATAGAGAAAATACCCAGCCTATTAATTAAACATAAGAGAATAGAGATTTGGAATTACGTATTAATTACTGGTAAAAGTCATAAAAGAGTGAGGTCAATAGATTACAAAATTGGTGTAACTTTTCTAACATAAAATCTAACTTAAAATTATAAACTTTTAAACACAGAAACCATTAAACAAGAAACCTGAATTGAAACACAAAATGCAGATAAGCTAAAAGAATAAAAAAAAATCTATAGCTAGCAACCAATAGAGAAAGACACAAATGGTAGAAAATTACAGCTGAAGATACCCTCAACAGAACACCAATAGCTATGTTCAATTTGCTAAAATCCTATGAGAGACAGCATGTCTGGGAAAATCTACATAATGCCACTGGACAGCACATAGGACATACGATCTAGTCACTTCTAGCTGGTCTAAAAGGGCTGGGTAGTTAAGGGTGTTGAAAGTGAAAAGTGGCATCACTTTTAGAAGTATTTCATTTTCCTGGTTCTTTTAAACTTTTGTTGTCTAAAAATGAGTGGAGATGAAAGGATAGCATTTCAAAATGAGAAGATTGAGAGAAATGGTTCAAGCACAGGATGTCCAAACTGTGTGCTAAGATGCCCTGTGCCATCCCCACGAATCCACAAGGCCATTGGAGAATATTGAAAAATTTTGCTTAAAACAGAGGGGCACTTTAGGAAATATTAGATTGAGGTAGTTGAGAGTTTCAATCTTACAGCTTATATTATATTTTGATCACGTTGTATTTCTAAGTGCTAGTTTGTGGAGGGTTGCTATGTTAAAAAGCAAGTGCCCTATGAAAGTCATTTTGGAGCCGTGAACAAGAGCGGTTATGTGCAACTTCATTTCCTGGTCTGAGAAGTCTCGGTGTATGACAGGTACACCCATACCACTATTAAGTAATTGTGGTTACATTGAAAATAAATTACTATTTTTCTTTCAATGCACATGTATTATTTTGTCAAATGACTTTTAAATTGTTAGGACATAAATGCTTATTATATTGTTTGCACCAAACTGCTTAATCAATAGAATTACTAGATACTTCATTTAGGCTTAGAAGCAACCTGAAAAAATAATACCCAGACATCGTCACTGTGAGACAAAAAAAAAAGTGTGGGAATTTTTAGACCAAGTAAATGGAGACTCTTGGCTAACACTTATTAAAGGGCTTATTTTTAAAAGTTGAGGCTGTGAAATTGGTACAACAGACAAACCACTAGAAATTAAAATTCTGTTTCTACTTATATATTGATTTTTGAAGATGTTTTTAGGACTCAATATGAGAATGCTATCTCTGATACATAGCTCATCCTAAAGCAACCAAGTGCTGGTCCCTCCATCACAGTTATCCACGTCAACCCAGTGCTGGTCCCTCCATCACAGTTATCCACGTCAACCCAGTGCTGGTCCCATCATCACAGTTATCCATGGCAACCCAGTGCTGGTCCTTCCATCACAGTTATCCACGGCAACCCAGTGCTGGTCCCT